TGAATTTCTTATCTGATGATTTGTCTGTTTTTAATCTGAATGAATGAATGACTCTGTTTTTTCTCTACATGAATGTATCTTTTCTCTATTTCCTTTTATTTTGTTTTTAACGTTTTACTTTTTGATCATGACAAAAAGGGGGAGAAAATGGATCTGACTGTTCAAATAAACTCTACCTAAATGAAATTCAGACATATCTAATTATAACTAACGTGAACTTTTAGTATTTTAGAACATTTGAAAAATCTGACATATTCTTTAAAAGTAACTATGAGATCCCCAGATCAAGTTTAACCAATCAGGCTCTGATTCTGAAACGTTCATTCAAGTCAAGCTCCAATTTTTTTTGGAACAATCAGGCTCTGATTTTGAAAAGAATACTCATGCAAAAAGGGAAGTTTCTATTCCTTCTAAATATTCAATTCAGGGGGAGATTCATAATCTCAGGGGGAGTTATAATTATTGCTTTATTGAACAAAATTTTTTATGTTTTTGTCATCATCAAAAAGGGGGAGATTGTTAGAACACAGATTGGTTCTTAATTATATCTCTATGTTTTGATGATAACTCTTACGAAATTTTGTATTAAGAAATTATATACTCTAAAATTTGTTTAAGAATGTTTGCTGCAGATATTAAAGTGAATATCATTCTAAAAGCAAATTAGATCTGAACATGGAATTATGCAAGGCTCTGAAGCGTCAGAAGCATCTCTTAGAAGAATCTGAACGCTGTCTACAGAAGATTTTGAGCACTGCCTACAGAAGCATCTGAAGAAGAAGCTATAGAAGAATCTGAAGCAAAAGCTACATAAGGATCTGAAGCAGACGCTACAGAAGCATCTGAAGCATTGAAGACTTTGTATGAAGAGTTTCTAGCTTAGTTTATTTCAGAAGACTCTGATAGTACTACGCTGCCAGTACTGAGGATCTGATCCCAAACTCTGCTTTGAATTATTACACGCTGAAAGCACACTTGCTGCAATACTCTGATTCAGCAAACTCTGATGAACATCAAAGACTCTGATCATTCAAGACTCTAATGTTATTTGCTGAGTATTAGAAACTTGTTGAAGAAGAATCCAAAGTTATGTCCGTTGGATAGACCAAACGACTCTTTCCTCATTTATGCTAGACACTAGAACACAGGCAAAAAGGATTTATTTGAACGTTCTACTTCTAGGAAAGGTCAAGTGATGTGAAGACAAAAAGGATACAACCCTTTTCAGTACACAACCTTCAACGTGAAAACAACTTGGACTTCTGTGTCTATAAAAGCAAGACTCCAACACTCTTCTTCAGTTGACGAAATATTGAAAGAATTTAAAGAAAAACTCTCATACAATTTATTCTCATTGCTGAATTTATTTCATTGTTCTTAAACTTAAGTGTAAAATCACAATTGTGATATAGCTTATTTAGAAGCATTCAAACACTTGTTTAGTTTTACATATTGATTGTAAAAGTCCTTGAGAAGATCCAGTTGGGATCAGTAGTTCTTGAGAAGACTAAGAACAGTTGCTCTTAGTGCTTGCTATTGTAATCAGTTTGATTAATAGTGGATTACATCCTTGTTGAGAAAGGAAAATCACTCTTGATAGGGTGGACTGGAGTAGTTAAGTTCAACGAACCAGGATAAAAATCTTTGAGTTTTTATTGCCATAATTATTTTCTATATACTTATTCAACCCCCTTCTAAGTATTTTCTCACCTTCATCATATTCCAGCGTGCCGAAGCGCTCATTCTGTCGAAACAACATCTGGTTTGTCTGGTTGATAGCCGTGAAGAGAGCGGTCATCGTCGGGTCCGCCCCCGCCGACGTGGGAATAGGCTGGAAGACCGTCGGGCTCCTTGCGCGAGGCACGATATGATGTGCAACATCTTTGGACAAAGGAGAGGCAGTCTGGCCGTCCCTAATGTTGCTCTCACGGGCTTGAGATGTCCCCGGCTGGTTATCACCGTTGGTGACCGGGGTGAAGGCGGAATTGGGAACAACGTCATCGTGATGTGGGCTAGTCATGATCTTGGAATTTTGCAAAGAGGAAGCTTTGGTTCTCTGCTCGGGGGAATGGGGAAGCTTCAAGTTCCCACAGACGGTGCCATTGATCTGACCTGATCAGAAGGGAATCAGTGACCTGCCACGCGTCGTTGATCTGCTAGTTGTTCACCGAAAGTATGGAGGAGGAGGCGGGTGTACCTGCAAGACACTCTGATGCCAAAGTAAGTAATGGACCAGAGTAGGAGCTAACACGAAAGTGAGGTTAAGAAGTGAATACCTGATCCTCTAGTGAAAGAGGGTATTTATAGAGAGACCCCAACGCAGGGCCAACAGTCACTTGTGTTGGGTTGGATTGTCAGGCCCAACCCAGGTGACTGCTAGGGCTTACGTGGTGTAGTAAAGACCAGCACGTGGTCTTCTCCCTAGTTCAATCGTCCCGTGATCTCCGGAAGGTGGACTGACCAGCTCTTTCGGAGGTGGGTAGTTGGCTGATGACATGTCCCCGTGGAGGGAGCACGTGCAGAACATGTGGAAGACACGTTGTTCTGCCCGACGGAGAAAGTGTTCTGCTCGACGGCGAAGGTGTCTGCCCGACACTGAGCGATCTGGGCCTTCCCTACGTAGCGTTGGGTTGGGCCTGCCCGACGGATGGGCAAGCCTGGGCCTAGTCCAGAACATAAACAAACCACAAAGCTTGATGATTTGTTAGTTATGCAAGAATGCATGACCTAATATGCTTGTGCAAATAATGCTGACATCCAAGTGGTAAAAATTTGGGGTATGACACACGGGCTACCATAGTCTTGAACGATTGGAGCTACGTCGAGGGATACATCAGATGGTTCTTCAGGGTGTCACATCTGTACATAGTGCATGCTGTTCCAAGAGATCTGCCAAGACTAGCTCATCAGGAGATACAAGAGGAGGAGCAGACTCAGCTAGATGATATCTTCCCTGATGGGTCTGGTGTCAGGCGAGTCCTGGATGCCATCATGGTGGAGGCATAAAGGGCACTGTTGTATCAGAGATATTGTCGTAGGATGGAGGGATTGATGGTCGAGGATGCAGGGCATGCATAGGAGGTAAAGGAGATATTTTCAGACACACGCAGTAGTAGTAGTTTGTTATTACTTTATTGTAATAATATACTCTCTACTTTATTTTTACGGTTTTATTACATTTTGGATCTCGATTGTATGATATGTTCTACATGTATTATTATTTTATTTTCGACACACCCAATATTAATCTCTTTTTATTTTATACGTCTATTTTTTTATTTTATTTTGGATTGTGTGTCATACTTCATCTGAAAATAAATACACAACTTATAGTGAAAAACACATATTCTGATACACTTCAGAGATGTGTCTCTAGAATATTATTGGAGATGCATCTTCAGAACAATTCAAATGTAAATGGCTTCTAAGTGACATGTTTTGAATGGTTTCAAAAATGTACCTTTAAAATATACTAACATTTATTCAAAAATTGATGCGTCCAAAGATGCATCTCTGAAATTTAAAAATATTCAAATAATTTTGTTTTGTGCTTAAAAATTACCTAAAATGCATTAAAAAATTCTCTTATTTAATATCAAAGACAACTTATGCAGGTTGACCTAACATAAAAGACAATTTATCTAGGTTAGTCTATTAGTGAAGGAAAGACAATTTATCTAGGTTAGTCTATTAGTGAAGGTTCGAGTCCTAAAAATACACTGATGGTTTTTAAAAGTGTGCTTCTTTTAAAATGTCAAATTTAAATCTCATTCATTATTAACAATTTCTTAAGAAAGAAATTTGACAATACCGAACTTCCAAAAAATATATTTGGTTTTTAAAAGTGTGCTTCTTTTAAAATGTCAAATTTAAATCTCATTCATTATTAACAATTTCTTAAGAAAGAAATTTGACAATACCGAACTTTCAAAAAATATATTGACAACAAAGACCAATCTCATTCATTATTAACAATTTCTTAAAGAAAGAAATTTGACAATACCGAACTTCCAAAAAAAATATATTGACAACAAAGACCATTTCTGCTAACAAATGAAACTGTGGAGACTTTAAAAATATAAGAATCAAATTTTGTAGGAAAAAAATATTTAACCAAATATTGATTATATTTTCAAGGCCTTTTATATGAACTTGTTTCACAACTAATAGTGTCATTTTATTTCTTATTATTTTGTATATCAGCCTAAGGGCCAATTTAGTCATTAAAATAAAAGTGTTATCTTTACAAAGTAAAGGTTAATTTCACTTTTGCTTCTGCTTCTTTTTTACTACATGTAACTAAGTAAAGTAGTTAAACTTTGCTTCTTTTTTACTACATAACTACTTCGGTAACTACAAGTTGGTTGCTTCCAAATGTGACTCACCTTTTAAGATTCCATTCCTTAACCATTAGATGTATCTTGTACAGACTAGTACAAAGCAATGTTTTACCAAACAATTTATTGGCCAACAATTTTTAGATCGTGCGCCTACCACTAAAATAAAGAATCGCTTCTATACCGAATTTTGGATAAAACACCTACCAGTGTGTTGAAAGCAATTGTTGTTAATGAGGACGCAACTATATTTCCTTATAGCAAAAGAGTCTTCAACGGGCTGCACTTAACATATCATAGGCACCACGGATTGGGATGTTAAACTCATCCAATTGCACCAGGATAAATAAATCGAAACACATATGCCTATGTCCTACCTCTTTTTTCCATCTAGTACTCATAACATTTTCATGCGTTGGTAATAAAATATAAACAAAATCATGTCCTGTATATACAGCTCATATGATAAAAATCTGCATGAATCTTTTTACTAACTACTCTTACTCCTCTTTCCGATTATAATTTGTAAAGCCTATTATAAGATTAGAAAGTAAAATGAAAAACAAAAAAGGAAAAGTATTAAAGGATGGGGCAAGCAAAAGCAAAAGAAGGTATGGTAGATGTTTCAACATCTTGCATACATTTTGAAGATAATGTGCAGGTTTACCACCCAACGAGCAATAGTTTCAAAAGCGCCATCCGGATATATAAACCATATTTGGCCTGCCTAAAGTAAGCAGCTCTTGAATCGGCATCAACATCCACAGTAATCTGCATGAAAACAAGAGCATACTTGTAACTCACGAAAACTCGGTGCTTATGCCCCTAGAGAGGCCTCTAACAAGTCATAACATTGGATATAGAATGCTTACTTCATCAAGTCTCGGAAGAGGGTGCATAATCACAGCATGTCTCTGCATTGCATTGAGAATATTCTGATTCACAATAAACTTGCCTCTAGCTTTTTCATAAAGGTCGAGTCTTTCTCCGAATCGTTCTTTCTGAATACGAGTTTGATAAACAACGTCACACTCCGATGCCACTTCCACTAGATCAGAACTTTCTTCCCAGTCCACTCCTTTTGATGTCAAATAGTCTTTTATATCATCCTATAAATGTAAATATCAAGATTGACATACCCACGGTTGTGATTTATAGGGACACAAATGGGAAGGTTGAAATTAAAAATGTCAATAGCAGAGACGAAGATGTTGCGTTGGATGTGTGGTAAGACTAAACGAGATAAGATTAGAAATGACAATATTAGAGAGAAGGTAAATATCAATATTGACATACCCAGGGTTGTGATTTATAGCGACCCAAATGGGAAGGTTGAAATTAAAAATGTCAGGAGCAACATGGTATTGGATAGAAACATGGTATTGGATAGAACATTATGACAGAATTTGATCCTTGTTGCCTACCCCACTAGTGAAATAAGGCTTGGTTGTTGTTGTATCTATATCTATATTTACATCTGTTCAGATACATTGTGGTTGACACTTAATCTTAATTCGTTTTCTCACAAGTCTTAAACATACATTGAGTAAAAAGTTAAAACATTACCTTCATTTTTACCACTTCAGGAGATACAAAATAAATTTTCACATTCTTGTACTTTGCAAGCAAGTAGGCCAATGAACGGACCGTCCTCCCATTAGCTAGGTCTCCCACAAGCCCGACTTTTATACCATCAAGCTTTCCAATCTCTCTTTCAATGGTATAGACGTCCAAAAGTGCCTGACAAGTGTTTGAAAAAGTAGCCAAGATTTATAGTCTATCACAAATGGGAAGACTATATAATAGTTCAGAATAAGCTGAAGTTAGAATCTACAAAAGAAACAAGTTCAAGCTAACATTTTGGTCCTCTATTAGTAATAAGACATATAACACTAATCTCATATTCTACGAAGTATGAACTACTCCTTCTTTGGATATTGTCAGATCTCATCCTTATACATATAAATAGGGTACAATGTACATCACTTCTTCTTTTCAAGATCCGGAATGCTTGTAAGTTTTCAGAAATGTTGTGTTAAGCCGAAAAATAATATGCATCCATGATACAACTAGGAAGTATAAAAAATGAACTAGCAATTACATGAATAGCCTGAATCGGTTGCATCTAGCAGAATAGTCTATATCCTATCCGATCTATTTGACAGTTAAAAGAGTAATTATAAAATGTAATTGGCAATATTTCAAAAAAATTTTCAGGAAGTTGTAAAAATAAAGCGACAACTTCCACAAAATAATATAATCCAAAACACAAAACTTTGCTTGCAACAGAATCCCCTATTGATGCATACCTGAGACGGATGTTGCCCGGGACCATCCCCTGCGTTGACTATTGGAATGCCAGCTATAGCCGCAGCTCTTCTGGCAGCCCCACTTTCAAAGTGTCGAAGCACAATTAAGTCAGAGTAACCTTCAACTGTTCTTATTGTATCTGCAAGCAAAACCTCACGAGAATCACTAAAACATGAAACCCACATCAAATTTGTAAATAAAGCAAATCGAGGAAATTCAATCAAAACCTTCAAGTGTCTCTCCTTTAGCCGCGGACGAAAACTCTCTAGCGTTTTCAGTTGTTAAAACCTCTCCACCTAGTCTTCTCATAGCAGACTCAAACGAAAGTCTAGTTCTAGTAGACGGCTCATAAAATAAGGTAGCCATAAGATACCCCTTTAAAATCTGGCTTTCCGGAGAATTCCTCTCGACATTCTCCATATCTCGCGCAACTTCAAAAATGGCATTTAGAATATCTCTATCAAACTGCTGCGCTTCAATTACATCATCAAGTTGAAACTTCTGCCCCTCGGAAAAGCAACGGATTCCATCTCTTTGCCAGGTTTTTTTCATTTGGTCACATTTTGACAAATTGTTTACGCATAAAAATCTTGAAATAGAATAGCATGTTGATTTTGAATAACTTACAAAATCTTTAGGGCATTTTGATATCTTTGGAGCAAGCACCTCCATGTGCATTGAGCAAGAGAAAAGTGAAGATGAAACAGCCATTTCAGAAGAATCCACCCAAAAAAACTGGATAATTAAACATACGAACAAAACAACAAATTAACCCTAATTGATAAATTAGCAAAATTGCATGATGATAATAGTGTACCTGTGTTTCAGTGACAGTGAATTACAAGAGCTGGCGATTTTGTGAATTGAAAAGATCTCGATCAAATGGTAAGAAAGGAACCTAATTTCTGAAAAATGATGAACATGAAAAAGAAAAAGATAAGAGAAACACAAAATCAGTTGTTGTTATTGCTTTTGGAAATGAAAGAAAATGGTGAAATAAAGCATCTTTATGCAACAATCAAGCAAATGCTTTGAAGAGAAAAGACTTTGTAATCCGAAATTTGTTTGAAAGGTAATTAAAAATAATTTCAGTTAATTCTTTAATGATTCTTTGTTAGTTTAATTAAATAAATAGATTAAAACCATATTAATAATTAAATTATAGTTTAGAGTCAAAATATAATATTTTTTAATATGTCTATTTCAATTTACTCTTGTTTTTGTTTGTAGGGTAGTTCTTAAAAAAATACAAATATTATGCAATCTTAATTTTTTTTTATAAAGATTAAAATATATTTCAAATAAGATTAGTGGGAGAATTTGAAAAAAAAACCACTCAATAAGATTTGAACCTAGAAAAAAGGTAAATTTAAACAAATTTAGCATATTTTTTACATTATTTTGTTTTATAACTAAATGCATCGGATTTAAAAAACTAAGGTAGAGTTGCAGTTTATTTTAGAAAAAAAATCATGCAATATTATCTTCTCTAAATTTGTGTAAAATGATAAGAGACAAGAGTAATTTCAATACAAACATGTTATCTATTTCTTAGTTGTCCAAACACCAATTTAGAATTAGAATTAGCAACAGCCTTATTTTCACCTAAAGCTTGGTACATCATGTGTCTTTTGTTATCTCATTTGATCTCAAAATATTATAAAATTTGATCTCAAAATATTATAAAATTTAGACATGAGTGAAATTATCCCACATTAATAATGGTTCAATAAAAATCTATGAGAACAAGCCATTGTTGTCTCCGAAGATATATTTATATCCCGACAGAAGAAGAATTGCACTTAATTCAAAATTTATCAATTTTTTCATTTCAACTCTCTTGACTGATACTTCCAATCAGACACACCACTAATCCATCGGAAAAGATGGTTCAAATGAGCATACATTAATACAACGTTTTATTACGCCAAATCCAATTATGCAATAGTAATCTTTAAAAGAAGGTTTTTTTCACAAGTTTAGATGAAATAAATTCGATTTTTTCATCTTTTAATTTGAAGGTAAGTTTCCTTGTTTAACCTCTATGATGGCTTCAGCAGTGACAAGGAAATGTCTGGAGTTGCATGTCTCTTATATACTCAGGGGGAGAACCCCAATACAATTTTTTCTTGTCTTTTACATTTTCATTTTGTTTATTATTGTTCATTGAGTCTCTTTTATAATTGCACATCTCTGGATTAAATTTTGAATCCATTTGTTTTAGCATGCATAATTGAATTGTTGTATTTGACAGTGCATCGCTCAAATTCAGACATGATGGCTCAATTTCATTTTTTGCATGTCTCTTATATATCTCAATCTTTGGACAGTGCATCGCTCAAGAAATCGATGGGATCAAGGGTGATTGCCATACACGAAGACTTGGAGCAGATTGGTGAAGCTGGAAGATTTAATAAGCCAGAATTGAGTAAAGATTTTGTAGAGAGTTCAACATAAAGGATGTGTGCAAGTCAAAATCTAGATAGGATATTTATTTTTTCTCAACATTATTGCAGATTAGTGATTATACGAACTTGTGTAATATTTGTCAAAACATAGTGGAAGAACAAATTTCAATGAAACCATTGGAGAGTGGAGTAGGCTCCTATGAAAACAAGAGACCCGAACCATTGTTCATCCCAATGTTCTCTCTCTCTCTCTATATATGTCTCTCTCTCTCTCTCTCTCTCTCTCTCTCTCTCTCTCTCTCTCTCTCTCTCTCTCTCTCTCTCTCTCTCTTTCTCTCTCTCTTTCTCTATCTCTATCTCTCTATCTATCTATCTATCTCTCTCTCTCTCTCTCTCTCTCTCTCTCTCTCTCTCTCTCTCTCTCTCTCTCTCTCTCTCTCTCTCTCTCTCTCTCTCTCTCTCTCTCTCTCTCTCTCTCTCTCTCTCTCTCTCTCTCTCTCTCTCTCTCTCTCTCTCTCTCTCATTTTAATTTTCCTAGGTTGTTGCATGTTTAGGTAATCATTTCTTAATGTAGTTTATCGTTATTTCCTGTTGGTAGCTATTTATTACATAAGTTTATGTTTTGTTAGAATTGAAACATATTTGTGTTTTAGTGCTGATTAAAATATGTGGACTAGTAGTGTTAGAATCCTGTAGCAATTGTTGATTTGTAAATCACGCAACTCGTGTAATTTACGAGTTGTTGATTAATTGTAGTGTGTAACTCTTTGGAGATAATCTTTAATCAATTCAAAATATATTTGTGAGTTGTGTATTTGTATTTGTGATTGATTTCCAATTAAAGCACATGGTCTTTATTTTCTCTTTAAGACTTCCGCGTTTGAAAAACTCTAATATTTCATTTGAAAAATTGGTTACATTTTTAAAAGGGTTATTCGCCCCCCTCTAGATCGTTTCTTTACTCCATATTCTTACCCAGGAAGGTCTTCCTAAAATGATAGGGATTTGAAAAGCTTCCTCTACTTCCTCTATTTGAGAATCTTCTAGGATTCCTACCGGATATTTTATGGGTCAATCTGCTAACTGTAAGGCTATATTCATGGATTTCATCTTAACAAGGTCAAGTTTTCTACAAATTAATAAGGGCATGAGGCTCACACTTGCCCACATATCACACAGAGCTTTCTCAAAAATCTTGGTTCCAATAATACAAGCAATTTAAAAACCTACAAATATTTTAGCTTGGATGGTAATTTGTTTTGAACGATGGTACCACGTTCTACAGCCAGTTCCATTGTCTCATTGTCTTCTAATTTTTACTTGTTTGATATAATCTCTTTAAGAAATTTGGCATAGAGTGATATTTTAGATATAGCATTTATAAATGGGATATTGATATACAACTTCTTTAATAACTATATAAGTTTCTTAAATTGTTCTTCAATTTTTGCCTTAGCAAATCTTTTCAGAAAAAATGTTTGAAGGTTTATATGGCAGAGGAAGGATATATGGTTTCTCTTTTTCTTATTTCACAAGCTCACTTGTAGGTTGGATTGGTTCATTCTTCTCACTATTTTTTATCCTTTTCACTAGAGTCATCTAGTTGTTTTCCACTCCTTAAACTAACAACATTCAAATTTTCTATCGGGTTTGGTTGGGGATGTCCCGTAAATATTTTGGGAGGTGATATGGTGATGCTTTCTATTGTGTCACTTGGGTGATTTGAATCTCCAACATTATGTTGTGTGTATCCATTGAATTAACTTTACATAATGGTTTTCTAAGGATTTCGTTTATATATAAGTTTTGGTTTTTCAATTCCTTATTTTATTTTATCTGAGCTATCACAAAATTTTCCACAAGATTTTTGAGGTTGGGTTATATGGGAGGATTATCACCCTTTTGAAATCCCCGAGGCCTGTCTGCGTATTGGGGAGAGTTGGTTCCAAATTAGCGAGAGTTTTTCTTATAGAAAAAATTAGGGTGGTATCTCTATCCACGATTATAAGTATTTGAGTGTGGATTACCTCTTTGAGAATCATTAATATAATTAACATTCTCTTATTTGGATTCTCCTACTAAAATCATCTGGCAATCAGCACCAGTATGACAAATGACTCCACAAGTTTCACAATGTTGAGCGCTAAGGGTGATAACATTTACACTCATATTATCGAGTTTATGAATAGACAACCAATTTTAGAATTTAGGTGATCTAAGGCGTCTACTTCATACTTGCCCCCCTTTTTTAGTGTCACTCTGTTCAGTTTTATATTGTCACAAAATTTGATGAAAATTAACAGATGAAGGTTTAGGTCATCAACAAATGAACTAGAAAACTAATTATGTTGTACCATAGACAATAAAGATGATTTAAGTTCAAATTTATTTTCATCCACCTTAGGGCACACAATAGTGGAATATGATTTCATATTTTTTGGAAGGCATAGTCTTTTAAAATGCGATTGTTAACCATCACTTGTTGTTTTCTAGGCTTCCTATGTATGTATTTTTCTATCTCAAAAATTGGTTGAACATGGTCCCCAAGACTATGCACATACCAAGAACGAGAAATTTTTTTGAAAAAAAAAAGACAGAATATAAATTTTAGTCTAGTCGATGAAAGTGAAAATTCAATATAAAAAATAGTCTCCAACAACCGCGCCATAAAACTTGATATGTTGCAAGTGCATGCTATATATCTTGTGTAATAAAATTTGATCATTCCACTAGAACTATGATTGATTATTGATTCTTTTTATATTGCGTAATTAGCTAAAAAGATATAATTTTGATTGGTTTAAATGTTTTATAGATTTGAAATTTTATAAAAGCTAGCCCTAGGATTATGCTTTTTTTTTTTTATCTAAGGCAAACCATGTAGATCATTGTTTGTATGAGAGTTTTAAATTTTGCAAATTTTAAATAAATAAGTGTAAATTATATCACTTTTTTAGAGCATATAATTGTATCTTAGCCAACAGAACCACCTATTTTCATGGTAGGTTTAGTGATAAGAACCGTTAAGCAAAGTTATTTTTAAGAAAAAACAAGAGTTTCTTAGTTAAACCAAAACTATTTCATGTGTTGGTTTAACTATATGTATCCGAGATTAGCCTTCACTATTTATCCCATTGACTGATATTTGATGTTGTCTCTACTTTCATAGAGACATTCGTAAAAACCTTTAAAGTCAAAGTATAACTTAATTTCTCATCACATAGTTTTAAACTAAAAGTTACTAGTGATATATTATTTAGACAATCTTCATAGTCCTAAGACATTATGAGTCTACTCACTCAT